GCCATTGTTCATGAATTCAAAATTTTTGACATTTTTCAAAGTGTCAAAAAGTATGAATTTTCATGGTCACACTATACCATGACTTTTGTTGTTCGAAATCCATTTTGGATTTGTGGATCACATCAAACGTTGACTTTGATGGAATGGCTAACAAATAATATTTCGTTATTGCAATATATTGAGCCAAAAATGTTGTTATTCGTTGATCCATAAAACCATCACCATTTGATTTTGTGGTTACCTTCGAAGCATGTCTCATGACACTTTGAAGTAGATTATTCATTGAAATATCATTTTTACAGCCATTAATGGCTAGTTAAAATGCCAAACTAATTTCATAATAATCTAACTCTTTGGATTTAGTTCGAAGAGATGTCGTGAGCACTTTCGAAGGACGACTTTAATCCTTTAGTAACATATGTGACTTTCGAATGGTGGTTTTGTCATCAATAAACACCTTCGAAATGTAACATGTAACAAGAAAGCTTTCGAAATGTGTACCTCCCTTCAAATATATGTAAAATGGCAATTAATTAATTATCGAATAATGCCTATTTTTGGCATGATTTTACAGATAACCATTTTTATAGCCATTTGTTACATGAAAACGTAACTAGTATTCTATAAAAGTTGGTTCGAAGAACAACGATTTCGGTGTCTTCGGAGAATTAATAATTGGTTTATAGCATAAAATTAATATTTTCATTAATTATGTGTGAACCAAAACATACAAAATTTGAATAACCACAATGTTGGCCAAAAGTTGCCTCAAAAGCCCTTTTGCCATAATTTTGTAAGCTTCGAAGCACTCCATCTTGCATCAACAACAGCTTCGAAGAAAAAATAGTGATTGTTATGAACCTTCGAAGCTTTGCCGAGTATTTCCAAGGATGTAATTCATCATTTATTGGCATTTTCGACCTTCGAATGATAATTTTAGTCCTCTATACCACCTTCGAAGCTGGTTATTTAGCATGTGTAACAGTTTGCTAAGGTAAATCATTGGCTTTGTCTTGAAAATATGTGGTTATCCTTCGAAACTTTTCTGCAATAATATCCCTTCAATGCGTATATATATAATTCGCAACATCTAGTCGTAATTTCATGCTCATTCGAAGGAGTTTATTGATGCTATTATATCATTCGAAGCACTTTGTTGATATTATTCGAAGCACTTTATTGCTTAGATTTGTCATGTGCTTGGTTCAACCCTTCAAAAATTTAAATAAATATCATTTTTAAGGGCCGCGGGGGGTAATGTTGGCACCATAAAATATTATTATTATTATTATTATTATTATTATTATTATTATTATTATTATTATTATTATTATTATTATTATTTTCAAGACACGTGGCATCCTCTTAATGGAGAATATGAACGACAAAGTGGATGAGTGGGAGGACAAAGTGGATGAGTGGAAGGACACATGGCAAGACAAGAATGAAGATGGAAAAAATGGGTAGTTATTAAGTAGTTATTGCTGTATTTTTTTCTCTATAAATAGCCATTAATGGCTACATTGTAAAGGATCCAGAATTCATAATCAAAGACAATTGATTTCAATATTTCTTGTCATTTTCCTTATCTTAAGAGTAGTTTAACATAGATTTATATTTCGAAGCATTTATGTTCAGCATTTCCATTTCGAAGCATTTTATGCACTTCCTTTTCGAAACATAGGAGTAGATGTAAGTAATTATTATTTTGATTGTTCACTCAATCGTCTTTCTCCGCCTCCCTCATTCTTCTTTTAATTTTTTTTTTCTCTACACTTGGCAATTTTGAAGTCCTCTTTGTTGAGGCAAAAGAACCATCAAAGCAATTGCTTGATAATTGGCTTGAATTTAATCTGTAAGGATTTTTCAATCTTTACTGACACGCTTATATTTATGATATTTTCCTTCGTAGAAAAAATAAGCCAACAATATTATTCTAACACCACCAAATAACCACCCTGCAGCGAAATAACCACTATGCAAGAAGAGAGTCAAGATTGATCCTCCATGTCAATTATTGGTTCTTTCTCCTACGTCAGGATAGTTATGACAATATAAATAAATAAAAGATATAATATAAAAAAAATTAATAATATATGATAAAAATTCAATTGTAAGATATTTTTTTTACCACACTTCAAATAATCTAGCTTACATAATTTTTGTGTTCCTGACACTTCAAAAATTATATTTTTAAAACATTTTCATGGAGATTCTCTAATATAATTTTGTGTTAAGTGTTTATTAATTTAAAATATAAATAAATATTCTAATAAATATTTTAAAATGTGTATTAAATAAAAATAAAAATCCTCACCATAATTTTTTTTGTTTTAAAAAAACTAATTTTACTCATTAATTTCATCAACTAAAATAGCAAATCCATCACTTTTGTGTCACATCAAAACAAAAATCTTAACATAACACAAAATAAATATTTTAAATAATATAAAATAATACCCCAAAATCACCGAATAACTCCACCATACTCATCCTCCGATGTAATGACTGAACAATCAATTATATATAGCATGAGTGATCAATTAAGTAGAACATTGATCATGTGAAATATGTGTTCATATACTTCTATTCAGAACTGCTCAGACACCTGTAATGAGATCCACAAGTCTAAACAGTGTATTCTAATTCAGATTTTAGATAAATTGGACTAGAGTGAAAGGAATTTACCCCCATTTCAAAATATATATATATATATATATATATATTAGTGAAAAAGACTTGCGCAAGGGACGGGTTAGTATGACTTTTTAACTTCAATATTTTATTGAGTTTATTAAATAAAATGGAATAAAATGACATTTTTAAAAAATTATTTTTTTTATATTTGATTCATTCAAAAAATAATAAAAAACAAATTGTAAAAAAATAATTATTATCATTTCACTGCACTTTATTTCATTTCACTATCTGAACTTTTTCTCCAAAAATAAGATTAATTTTTTACAAAATTGAATAGAATCAATGATTATGTGATAAAAAAAAATTTTAATTTCTATTATAAAGTACAATTATGGAATAAATAGAAGAGATAAAATTTTAGTTCAAATGAGTGAATTATTTTTTATTAGGGTGGAATAATCGAATGGTGATATTACATGCCAATGATCATATGGTATCACCGTTAAACTTCGATCTGGTTTCATTTGTAAAAAAATATTTTGTTTGGTTTGATTTTTTAAAAATTATTTTTAGACGAATTTTCATTTCTTTTAATAAATTTTTTCATATTTTTTCTATTTATTCTGTTAAATTAAAAATTCTAATAAGGAATAGTTGTAATTTCTAGTATTATAGGGCTATTTCATATTCTAAACAAACTTTGGGGGTGAATTTTAATTTACCCAAAACCAACATATTTATTTGTCATAACTGACCATGAATCTTTGCATTATTACGAAAAACCCTTCACTCAAATTAGTACCACAAATATTGGTAAATATTATCAAAGAAGAGGGTTAAATAGGATAATCAAATTATAGGTTACTATTAGTAAATTATACAAAATGAAATGAAAAAATGGGAAAGAAAACCTCGGGGGTGTATTTGTAATTTATCCAAAATCAAAATGTTTATGTTTTACAGAGGACTGCTACTAGCACATACCTCTTTACTTTGGGCCCCATTTCTTTGAACCCCACCCAACAAAATGAATACCTTTCCTTTTCTCTTTGAACCTCCACCTTAATACCAATTATACCCCTCATCTTTTTGATCCCCAACTTTTTTTCTGCAATTTTTCTACCATCGGCAATCCCATCTATCCAACAACCTCCCAGCACCTCCCCTACCGGTGACCATCCTTCCATAACCTCTGACCATCACAACTACCCTCCTTGCAATTTTCCCTTTTTTGATTTCGTTTCACTCTCTACAACTAACTCTCTCTCTCTCTCTCTCTCTCTCTCTCACACACACACATACACAGTCATCAATTTTTAACTCGAGTTCTGGACAGTGAAATTTTTCTAAAAATGCAAAGCCCTAACTTAGAAACCACATCAAACATACCTTAAACGTAAACAAAGAAAGAGCTTATAACCTTGAGACTGCTTGTCGTTCTCGATGAACTCCGTTTTGAGAGCTCGATCGATCATGTCGGCGAAGCTATCTTTCTTAAATCTCGAGGTGTTTGATTCTGCGGCGGTGACATTGGTGTCCAATAGAGGGTTCAAATAATCAACAGCTACAAAAGAGAAGGAGCGAGATGGTAGAGAGAGAAAGCAGAGGAGATCAAGAACTAGGAGAGAAAAAAGAGTTGTATGCATTGTAGATGTAGAGAGCGATAGAGAGAGAGAGAGAGAGTGTCCTCGTCTCGTGAGGCAGTTTGATTCTCCCTTTAGTGGTCGCCGGTGGAGATGGTGGTGAAAAGGTTGATGGGTTAAGGTAAATTAGGGTTAGGGTCACGGTTTGGAAAATTAAGGTTAGAATGTTAGGAAAGAGCGTAAAAATGTAACTTCATATTTGGATAAAATTGAAATTAAAAAAAAAAAAAGAGAGATGGGGAGTCCAAAGAAGAAAGGTAGGTGCTGATAGCAGCACTCTTTTTATAACTGACCAAGATTTTTTGCATAATTACAAAAAAAACCTTCATGCAAATTAGTACCACCAATATTGATAAATAATACAAAATAAAAAGACGAAATGAAAAAACTAAAATATAAGCCTCTAATAATAAACAATTCCAAGCCAAAGGGCAAAATCAGAAAAAAAAAATACAACCTTCAAGCAGGTAAGCGCTTCTTTTAATATACAGAGATATATATCTTAGAGCTACAATCTCATCTAATTTGAGTATTGCTATTTTCCAAAGAAAAAATATTATATTAGTGCTATTTTCATAAAGAGAAAACATACTGTCAAGCTGCTTTTTTTTTTCAACACAGCCTGAAAAGAAGGGTAGTTTTGTCTAGCAAGACTTGAATTATCTCAATTAATTGAATATTTGAATGGTAGATTTGAAAGATAAAAATAGCACCAAACATTTAACACAAATTTATATATATATATGTATGTATAAAAACAACCACAGAAATTATACCAAATAAGATCATTATAACATTTGCAACATACTTATCTTAGCCAAGAGTCCCGAGAAAGATATATAAAACTTCAACTTAGACAACAAGACACCATATCAGGAGTAAGTTCCAGCGATCTCCTGTAGGCAGGAGCACAGTTCCTGAGGCTTAGAGATCATGACCATGTGATCTGAACCAGGGATCACCCTCACCTCGTCCGTTGGATTATTTTCGATCATCCACCGTTGATATTTTTCCTTTATTATGTTGTCTTCTTCAATCACAACGTAAACTCGACGGACTGATCCATAGTTATCCTTTGTAAGTGCAGTTTCCTTTAATACTTCCCCCTCATCGTGGTATATGGGATATGGTCTCACCAGCAAGGTTGCAAGAGTCAAATCCTGGTTCATTTCAAAAAAATAATAATAAATATTATTTAAATATAAAAGAGCCTCATATTGGTGCAAGGATCGTCGGCTCCAAAATAATCCTGTCCCCCGTCCTAATTCACTCACAATCATTAAATATGTCTTAAAATTTTTACATTTTGAAATTCTTATATAATCTAATAATTATAAATAAATTAACGCATAGAAATAAAATTATTTGAGAATAGAGGATCCTCCCCTCATTTTGAGGTTTTGCTTGAGGACTCGTTGAGGATTGTGCCGACCTGTGTCCCGATCTCTAAGCGAGTAGGTGCTGCCACAACATCGTGCTGTAACAGCCAAACCGTATCATTTTGTTTATTTTTGAATAAAGAAAAAAAAGCTCCAAAATTAGTGCTCTAAATCCTAATTAAGAAAATAATATCATTCTATTGATTTTAAGATTGCTCTCCATTTATCTTTGAATTACTTCTCAATTTAGGAAGAGGATCCTCTCTATCATTTTCTTCTTCCAATTATCATTCAATATTTCTAAAAATCACAAAATATGAAAATGACTAATTGTTGGATCATATGGAAGCGAGATAGATGTTGTTTCAACACCATGCTGTGACAGTCAAACAATGCCATGTTATTTATTAAAAAGGAAAAAATTGAAACACACGCACGGCTGTCGTTTCTGTAGTGTAGAACAACACTTTTATGGGTTGACTTTAGGAAAATAAGGCGTAGCTATAAATAAATCAAAAAAATAATAATAAATAAAATTTTAAAACACAAGCCTATGAGCATGTTTTTGAAAAGTAATTTCAATTTTGGATGATTAGGTATGTGAAGGAATTGAATTTAGAATGATATTGAACATTGAATTGGTTGGTTCGTTCGTTCATAGTTTGAATTCAATTTTATTTGTTTTATTTTTTATTTAATTTAGTTTTTAAAGTTATATATATGATAGCTATATGTACTTTTTATATTATATGATTATTACAAGATGTATAATTGAAATACGGGAGCTTTTTTGATAAATCCACTTTCTAAGAGCTTTATTCCATTCAATCCATATTCTTTTTTACTATTCCATTAGGTTCTATTTGAGATAAGAAGACTAAAATATCATTTTCATCTACTTATGTTCCATTTAGTTCACATTATTTTCTTATGTTTCAATAAGTCCTATGGGTAACATAATTACCAAAATACCCCTAACGTGAATGTTCACACCGTCAATGTGAATGTTCATATCGTCAATGTGTAGGGGCCCGGCCCATGTCGATCCTCGTGGGTGCCGGGAAAAATTCGAGTCGGGTCGGGACGGGCTCGGCCCGTTGACAATGTGAATATTCACATTGACATGTTAACATTCACATTAATAGGAGTGTAAAATTGGCCCGCGTCCCATGGCGACGCGAAACCCGCCCGCGGTCTATGGACGGCCCGGGACGGGCCCCGTCTGGCCCGTTGACAATGTGAATATTCACATTGACATGTTAACATTTACATTGATAAGAGTACAAAATTGGACCGCGGCCCATGGGCGGCCAAAAGCCCGCCCGCGGCCCGGGGCGGGCCCGACCCGTTGACAATGTGAATATTCACATTGACATGTTAACATTCACATTGATAGGAGTGTAAAATTAGCGCACACCTCCTGGCTGCCCGAAACCCACCCACGGCCCGTAGGCGGCCCAGGGCGGGCCCGGCCCAGCCTGTTGACAATGTGAATATTCACATTGACATGTTAACATTCACATTGATAAAAGTATAAAATTGCCCGTTGACAATGTGAATATTCACATTGACATGTTAACATTCACATTGATAAGAGTGTAAAATTAGCCCGCATCCTGTGGGCAGCCCAAAGCCCGCCCGCAGCCCGAGGCGGGCTTGACCCAGCCCGTTGACAATGTGAATATTCACATTGACATGTTAACATGCACATTGATAGAAATGTAGAATTGGCCCGCGACCCGTGGGCTACCGAAGCCCGCCCACGGCCCGAGGCAGGCTCGTTTGGATCCGGGCCCGAGCATGTCCGAGACCCTAAGCTAAGGCCTAGGCCATCACTTTGAAGCCCGACCCGGCCCATCGGCCCGCTTAAGGTCCATTCAAGGTTCGGTCCGAAGCCCAACCCGCCCGAGGCACAATGTCTTTTTTTGTGAAAAATAATAAAATTTTGGTAGAAAAAATTAAAAAGAATTAAAAAAAATGGTCAGGCTCGCCCAAGCCCGACCTAAGCTCGAGACTAGGCCCAAGCCTACCGGCCCGACCCGAGGCTCGATCCATCGGCCCGTCCAAAGCCCGAATACCCTTGTGCCAGGGCTAGGGCATGGGCCTAATTTTTTGGCCCGTGGGCTGGCCCAGATTTTTTCGGACACCCACGAGGCTCGATATGGGCCGACCCGGGCCTCTACGTATTGATGATATGAACATTCACATTGACGATGTGAACATTCACATTATGGGTATTTTGGTAATTATGTCTCCCATAGGACTTATTGAAATATAAGAAAATAATGTGGACTAAATAGAATAGTCAAAAAGAACGCAGGCTGCCCGAAGCCCGCCCGCGGCCCGGGAAAGGCTCGTTTGGGCCCGGGTTCGAGCCTAGTCCGAGACCTTAGGCTAGGGCCTGGGCCATCACTTTGAAGCCCGGCCCAGCCCATCTGCCCGGTTAAGGCCCATTTAAGGCTCGGTCCGAGGCCCGGCCCGCGCCAAGTCTTAGTGTCTTTTTTTGTGAAAAATAATCAAATTTTGGTAGAAAAAATTAAAAAGAATTAAAAGAAAATGGTTAGGCCCGCCCAAGCCCGACCCAAGCCTGAGGCTAGGCCCAGGCTCATCGGCCCAACCCGAGGCTCGACCCACCAGCTCGAGTCCAGACTTAAACGAGCCTGCCCCGGGCCGTGGGCAGGCTTCAGGCAGCCCACGGGCCGCGGGCCAATTCCACATTCCTATCAATGTGCATGTTAACATGTCAATGTGAATATTCACATTGTCAACGGGCCAGGCCGGGCCTACCCCGGGCCCCGGGCAAGCTTCGAGCAGCGAGCAAATTTTACACTCTTATCAATGTTAATGTTAACATGTCAATGTGAATATTCACAATGTCACGGGTCGGGCTGCGGTCGAGCTTCGGGCCGCCCACAGGCTGCGGACCAATTTTACACTCTTATCAATGTGAATGTTAACATGTCAATGTGACTATTCACATTGTCAACGGGCCGGGTCGAGCCCGTCCTAGGCCGCTGGCCAATTTTATACTCTTATCAATGTGAATGTTAACATGTCAATGTAAACATTCACATTGTTAACAGGCTGGGCCAGGCCCGCCCAGGGCCACCCACTGGGCATGGGCAGGTTTCGGGCAGCCACAGGGCACGGACTTATTTTACACTCCTATCAATGTGAATGTTAACATGTCAATGTGAATATTCACATTGTCAACGGGGGGGCTTTTGGCCGCCCATGGGCCGCGGGCCAATTTTATACTCTTATCAATGTGAATGTTAACATGTCAATGTGAATATTCACATTGTCAACGGGCCGGGCTCGCCCTGGCTCGCGGACGGGTTTCGGGCAGCCCACGGGCCAATTTACATTCCTACAAATGTGAATTTTAAAATATGAATGTTCACATTATTAAATTGTTAATCGTTGAAAAAATATTTATAAGGGTATCAAAAATAAATATAAGGGCATAAGCGTCCAAGAAAATAGTGTAAACCAAGAAAATGGACTTTATGGAATAAAACTATACATACATGGGACTAAATGGGTTAAAAAATTCCTTCATGGACTTCTTGGGTTAAAACACTTCTAAATGGAATTTATCAATAAAAATCCCTTGAAATACCATTTGTTTTAAGTACTTATATTTCAACATTAGTTTTCTTTTAAAATTTAGAGTAAATTACATCAGTAGTCTCTTAATTTTGTCTCTTATGTCCTATTGGTTCCTACACTTTTAATTAGCTCAATTTTGACTCTTACTTTTTTAGATTTTTGTATCAATTTGATCCAATTGACAATGACGTTAAGGTTTTTGACAAAAATAATTACTAAGTTGGTTGATACTAACTCAATAAATTGATAAAGTTTATAAATTTGTCAACATATCGCTCATATTAATTGAAAAGTTCAGCTCACACTTTTTCTTAAAACCCAGGTATTAAGGAGAAAGAATCTGAAACCTTATAATCAGCACAGATAGGGCAACTTCAGGCAATATGGGACACATTCCAACACACCCTCCTGGACCATAACATACAGTAGCCGAACAAACGGCACACCAAATCACAGGCCCAACCAAGTTCGGATACCAAATTGAAGCCTACATTTCTCCTTAAAATCCAAGTATTAAGGAAAGGAAAACTAGAGTTTTATAACCAGCACACAGATGGGGCAACTCCAGGTGATATGGGACACATTTCGAACAATATTCACATTTTTCATTTAAAAAAAAACAATTATAATGAATTGAATCAAATTGGGACAAAGCAAAAAATATCTAGTCAAAATCGAATCAATTAAAATTACATGAATCAAAATGATACAAAAACAAAATATAAGAACCATCGGTACAATTTACCCTAAAATTTATTTGTACAAAAAAATGATTTTGAGCCAAATAAAAATATTACAAAATTCAATTTTTATACAATTTTTTACATATTTTTTTCAACTAATCAAACCTATTGCTTCAATTTATTTATTTTTAATAGATTCTTATTTTCCTAAAATCAACCCAAACATAAAAGTTTGTTCTACATGTACACTATAGCAAGATGACGACTTAAGTTAAAAAAAATAGAAAATTTAATAAACAAAACGGCACTGTTTGACTATCACAGTATGATTCGGGGATGATGGTGTCCCCGTTGGGAATCAGGGGCAGGGACGGAGATGTTTTGCTTTTAGGGATCCGGACAGAAAGTGTAATCTCCGGCCCCACCCGATCTGTTGCCATTTCTAGACAGCACCTACCCCTTCCTATTGGCATAAAGAAGATTGTCAACTTACTCACAAAAAATAAAAAAAACTAATAGTAGGAGTAATAATAATGAAAACATTCATCCATATGCCATTAATACATACCTCAGGAGTCGATAGGTTATACAACTTGGACGACAAAAACTTGGGGCCAAAGATCAGGGAGGTTGGAGGTTTGTCCAGCCCATTATCAAACTTATGTTGGCAATCCATAAAAGAGTCCAATCCTTTAACGTGCTATAAAATTGCATGCAAACAGAGAACCATATATAGTATTAGAGAAATCAATACAATTTCTTGCCCTTTCAACCCCCAAAGATAATTGGATTTTCTGCAATTTTATGATAGTGGAAACTAAAAATGGCATGCATAAACGTAATGGAGTGTGTTGTGACTAAAAGATGCTGAAACAAAAACACCGTATGTATGTACATAAACGTAATAGGCTAAGAGAGAGATGGAGAAAGAGAGAGATAGGTGGTACATCTTGAAAGACGGTAAGAAAATCAAGGTCGGGACCAGGCATAAACGCAGCGACAAATACAGCAACTGAAATTTTTTCAGGGAACCTCTCCATAGCTACAGATATGCCGATCCCACCCATGCTGTGGCCCACCAGAATCACCCTATCATCCACCTGTAGGGACACCATGAATTCCATCAATGGCTCCAAGTAGTCTGACATTGATCGGACCTCCTCTACCTGCTTAGGGTGGACACCAGAGGCAGCCAAGTCCAGAACCGTGACCCTATGACCACCCGATCTCAGCAAAGTCGCCACCTTGTACCAGCACCATGCCCCGTGACAAGATCCGTGAATCAACACAAAATGACTCTTACGCTTATCCATCACCCTGCTCTACCTACTACCTACTACCTACTATCCTATCCTTGTGCTAGTTTTGAGCTTTTCATAAGCTTTGATTTGGGCAGAGTTAGAGAGGTATAATAGTAATCTCACCATCTTGTCCATTTCATTCAAAACTAAGTGACATAGAGATAGAGGGGAGGAGACCTGGACAAAAAATCTATTTAATATTTCGAAAGTGGTCCATTTGCCTTATTAATTAATATATATGTACAAGTTTCACTCTTCATAAAAATGTTGTCCAAAACGCCATAGCCTGAGACGGCAATGGATGAGGCTATCGTCAAAGCCAAAGAAGCCGTGAAATAAAATAAATAAATAATAATAATCATATTTCTTACACTCCGTTTGGATGGAGAGATTTAGTGAGGAAAAAAAATTATGACAATAAAAAACTCTTTCACTTGTTTGAATAGTTAAATAAGTGAAAAATTGTGAGAAATGATGAGTGATGGTAAAAATAAATTTCATCAAAATTATGTTTTGTTTCCCACTGTAAGTGATGAGATTTTGCGGGAAATAAAATTGGGTTTAATTAATATTTTCTAAAATACCAAAAATAGTTAAATAAGTGAGAAATGATAAGATGGTAAAAACAAGTTTCATCAAAATTATGTTTTATTTCTCACCATAAGTGATGAGATTTGGTGGGAAATAAAATTGGGTTTAATCAATATTTTCTAAAATTATTCTTTTCTCTTATTTATTCTATCCAAACAAGATAGATGAAAAATCACATTATCTTCTCTTTTATTCATCTAAACATAATGGTGAGAATTCATAATTATTTCTTTTCTTCTCTCCTAAATGAGAAACCACAATTATTCCTTTTCTCACATCATCTCACAATTCAAACTTAGTTAATTTTCTCACTATTAAATACAAAAATAATAGATCCCGCATGTAATTGTTAGAAGAATAAGAATCACATGAACATACTAATAAGCTTTAAATTTAAGTGTTCCCTGCTGGCTGCTAATTAATCAAATGTGGGTTCAAAACACTATCTAATCAACAACCTGTAAGAATTCTCACCTAATTACTTTAGTGGCCTCGTTTGGGAAGTGGCTATTTTAGTAGGCTATTTGATTTTTTGACTATTTTAGTAGGTTATTTTAGTTTTGTGTTTGGAAAGTTAGGTTAAATTTTTATTTGAATTGGTGTATTAAAAAATGTGTTGAAAAGATGTTTGTAATTAAAATGACCATTTTGTCCCTACAATTATATTTTTTTTAATTTCCAGCTGAGGGGCAAAATGGTAATTGAGCTGTTGATGTAACATTTCCGGCTGTGACAGTGTAGGCACAGCCTACACTGTCCAGCAGTCAGCCTATATTTTTTTTTTTTTTTTGAAAAATCAAGAAAAAGTTGCTACAGTGTAGGCTTTTGGGCTGATTTTCAAAATTAGGCTACCATCACGGTGCTACCATCTCGTTCAAGCTGAAACCAAGAATCAAAGTTCTTCAGTCGTAGGGTCACCACGCTTCACCTTCCAGTTTTTGAAGTCAACATGAAGCCACTAAATGATGTCCATACACTTAATGAGTATTCTACACCATTGATGGAGATCATGGCATCAATTCCTCCAAATGAAAAAGGTTATTCCTGTACAGGCAGGGCACAGCTGCCGGTGGCTTGAGCTAAGCTCTTGCCATGGAAAAGTACCCGGAGAAGATCTAAGTAGCTGCCCTCCTGATAGCATTCATGCCTGAATTTTTGTGAAGCTTTAGTCAGCTAAATGTGTTCGAGTACCTTTGACTATGCACACCATGTAAAGAGCCATGCTCATCAAACATTAGTTTTGTGGTAGAAATAGATCAGCTGCAGCTCCTTGCAACACAGAAGAAGGGCCCTGTTTGTATTGGTTCATTCTAAGAGACTTGTTTTAATTTTTTAACCAAATACCTGAAAATGTAAATGATGAAAATTTTTGAGAAAAAATCTCGAGAAGAAAGTTATCTTGCTGTGTGCTCACGTCCATCAACTTTGAGAGCAATTAAATTATAATGCAGAATTTAAAATTCAAATACTGTTCTGCAAGTATTAGATGTGCTAATTGCAAGTGAATCAGCATATATAAACGATGATTCACAATTTTTATTACTCATGCAGTTCAATCATTATGGGTCAATGGACAAGATATTGATCTTGGCAGAGTGTTCAAGATTTAACATGGCTATGTACATAAAAATGTGTGAATGCCCATGAATAAACAAGAGAATCAGTACCTCTTTCTTTAAAGTGATAGTTTTTAGGTTAGAACCCAGCATAAGAGCAGTGACAAACAACAGCACTTCTCTGTGGGAGGGAACCACTCCACAGCAACAGATGTGATATTACTATGTTCAGGCCTACCAGAATCATCTTATCATCACTGGGAGAGACCCCATGAACTCCATCAACACCGTAAAGTATCCAAGAATGAGGGGACTTGTCCGGCCACTTGGTGCGATAAGCAAAGAAAGTGAGGTCCAACTCTGTAACCTTGTGACCTGCCAATCTCAGGAATGACTGCAATCTCGTGAACAAGGACAAAGTGCCCCTCTTTCTTCTCCATCTCCTCCTGCTGCACAAGATGTTATCTCACATTAGTTTACTATCTTATACACTCATACTTCCAAGTAAATTGTTTCGTGGGGCAAATCAAATGCTGATTACTTATTCAAAAGATACATCTGCATTTGACCATAAATTATACATGACACATGTTTCAAAATGATTACATACAGAAGTTATGAAGAGTCAATCAATCAATTGAATCAGTCAATTTACTATTAAAAAAAAAAAAATCAATAATATCTTAATCACTAATTTTTATATGATCCATTTATGAAAACCATCATTTTAAATAAATGCATACAAGACCTTTGCCCACAAAGCATCAAAGCCAAGAACAAATTTCATTTTGTCTCTCCATTGCCATGACAATTGTTTTCATCAATTTCTAACATTTTCAGATGAAGAATCTGGCATGGTTAGCCCTTACAAGCCATCACAATCCAAAACGTACCATTTTAATTCTGGGGAACCACAGCCCCCAAATGAATTCTGGGCCACCATGAGGAAAACCTTCTGTTCAGAAGTCAGAAAATGAATCCAGGGGAGCTAAGGAAAGAAACTGATAATTGGCAAAATGATACATCCCCAGGAATTAATTCCTCCATTCTCTGGACATTACTCTACTGCTTGAGACAAAGCTCCTGAAATCCTGTTAAACTGCAATGGGTAACAACCAATTCAACAAAGCCTAACAGCAGAATTTTTTTTTCCCCTCAGCGGTCATGACGTACACAGCTTATTAATCTCAGCATTAAAGAGTAAAAGTAATCAGTTGGTTTGCGGAAAGTAGACGTCACCAGTACAAGTGAGTTCATTATAGGAGACATCCAAGAACCATTAAAAATACACCATATAGAAATAAATTTAAACATATAAGTACTCAAGGATGGATGGATGCACATTGAAAAAAAAAAAAAATTACTTCGTAGAAAAAGATATCAAACTTCCAAAAACTTAAACCAGCACATTGCATACTACAATAATATATGAAGACACCTGAATCAGAAACAATGTTCACTAACAAATTTACTATAGACCAACCCACTTCCTAAACCACTTCAAATCAGTATTAGCATATCATCAGAATTGTAGAAATGAGAAGACTGACTGGAGTAAATGTTACTCTATCATAAACACATAAACAAAGACATAAAGGTAACGATGATAAAGAATCTAAAAAATTAGATTCATGACCTGGACATGCACTCTATTTTTCTTCTTCCTCTTTTTATGTTTTATTTTTAGTATCTGAACATGCAGGAGGAATGCAGCTTGCGAGAATAACATTAACTGTTAGCCATATAAGAAACATAAGCTTCAGTTCTACATATTTCAATTAAAAACAAATGAACCTACAGGTATCAGTTAGATTTCAACAGTAGCAAAGGTGTTTATTTAATCCCAGTTAGTCCATGTACTTGCTAAAAAGGTGGATCAAAAAAACCAAAGAGAATAATAGTTCTAGAAATTTTCCAATTTATTAGTATGAAATGGGTTTCGCCAACAAGTTAAATAATATTGCACCAAAGTAAGAATGGTGAGTAAATACGGGAAGCATAGCACTATAATTCACAATTTGATGAGAGAAATGTAATATGTAGAAAAGAAGCGCACCGTTGCAAAAGAACCTGTGGATTATATGGAAACAAACTTTTCTTATGGAGATTCTGCAGAGACTTTTTCAGTGACAGCAAACAATCCTTGGCATTCTCAAATGGTAACCTAGTAGTTCTACAATGCTTGCTGCCATGCATAAGGTCTTTCTGACATTGCTTTCCAAGTGACAGAGGAATCCCCTTGCTTTTCATTGATGAAGAGGTTAGATGTCCCTCAATAAGTGAATCATCAACAAGAACTTTTCTTTTCTTGCCATATGATTTATGTATATCTCTCACATTTGTAACTTTCCCTTCTGCTGAAAATTCCACAAATACGCTCCACGAGTAACACACAACACGCAAGGACCTAATGAGGGGCAAAAAAAAAAAAAAAAACGAGAAGCTCATTAAAAACACCCCCAAATTCATACAGATACAAGGATGAGATAGAGCTCAGGCAAAGTTCCATCCTCTAGTACTATCTTGCAATGCATTGCATTTGTTTGCATCAACTACTCCAAGCAATAAAATCTGAAAAAGAAAATACATTGCCTAACTAAAGTAAGCTCTAAAAAAACCTGCACTTCTCAACATATCTAAAGCAGGCAACAGTTTTTCTTAGGCATATGATTCATGAAAATCTAGTATTCACAACTTCAGAGGAAAGATCAAAGTACAATTCTAGTAACTAAACTACCTCAACAGATATTCAGCAGCTTTGGCTCCTGTATCTTTTGAAATTAGGTAATCAAGAAGCACCTGATGATCATAGTGTAGCTGCAAGCAAGTTAGGAGTGCACGTATTACTTTATTTAATAACTTCGCCCGGTAAGTGAAGAGTAGAACATAGAGGCATTTGCTTTGTATCAAGGAAATAAAAGTATATACATTGGGGTAAGAAGTCTTAGTTGTTCCCATTATCTATAACTATTGAACTTGCCTCTGCAAGAAAAAGATGGAATAGGTGTATGGGGTTGAAAAGGTTTGAAACATGAAAAAGCATATCATCACATCTGTCTTGGCAGACCCTACATACAAACAAAAAACTCATTAAAGACTTCTGCAACCAATACACTTAATAACCACTAAAAGTATTCTAGCATGTGTTGCTTACTGTTGCTCGGCACCAAAGGACATGTGAAATAGTTGCAAAAGCACTTCAAATAGGATATCGTCCTACAAATCAACAGTAGACAAGAAATTAGGATATAGCAGGTCTAAAGAAAGGCACATATTCTACGAACAAGAAATTAAACGATTAATAAATTAATATAACCATTCAAGCTACACTAGCAACTATATAAACTGAACTTAGGTTGAAGCACAGAGTACCTACAAGAAACACCATAATATTGCGCACTTTCAGTACATTAAGTATAAGCCAAGAAAGTAGATATGCAAATCATTCAATCTAGATTTTCATGGATCAATCAACTTATAGGAAAAAGACTTACATCCTTCAGAAGAATCTAAAGTTTGAAAGCTAGTTTCTAAGGGAGTATAGAGATAACCTCATGGATAAATAGCCTGAGGAAGGATAAGGAAAAGCTGGTGCATCTTTCAGAATAGAATTTGCAGCCTATGAACATTTCAGCTGGAAGATGCCCTTGAAGCCACCCATAAAGCTCTGATAAACCTTTTTTTCTACTGTAACACTCAAGGTCAGAACTTGAGTCAGATTTCAAGCAACTCTTCAGATTTGCACAGCCACACTGGTCAGCTGTTTTATCTCTCAAGCCAACCAAACTAAAGGAACACCTCAGGAAAAGGAAAACAGCAAGCCTTTGTAAATGTCTGGAAGTCATATTATGTATTCTGGCATCAGAAACACCCACTAAAAATGGGGAGCCTTCTAGAATGTCCTGATCTGACTCCAGCTGAGTCATTGGTTGCATCAAAAGATCTTCAAAGTACTCGTGCATAAGTTGCAACCATGAAACAAGAAGAGAATATTCCAAATGGATCTGGAAGCTAAGCCTGACCATTAGCATCTGCGGAGAACAACCTAATCAGTGGCATAATTTTGAATGTATGTAATAGCACCACGCTGTTAATATACATTTCAGCAATAGTGAGCAAGTGAAGATAGAATTAGAAACTTAATAACACCTGTAGAGCGATAGAAATACAATGAAAAAATACATCTTAACTAGCAACATGGAGAGGTAGTAGATATTTATCACTGCAGTTGTTCCAAAAACTACACAAAAACAAGTCGAACATGACACACGAAAGAAGATCTAAATGGCACGTCAAGTTGACAACATTCCAATTGATATGAAGCAAGCTAACCAAAATGAGCGAGTTGGTTCAAGCTGTTTATTAGTTACGTTAGATGTAGCAAAGTGAAAAACTTCTGCAACAAATTAATGACGCGAAGTTCCTTATCTTGCGATTGCAAATCTCTGACACTGCTTCACTTGTAAGTAGTAGGTTGTCCCTGCATCAAAGAGTACATGTAGTGCACCCTTCTTTTCATAGCACCCTCTCCATCCTCAGCCCAAGATATAAAAACAAAAGGAACAATACAAGAGTAAATAGAAAAGAACTAGCAACCAAGAAACATTGACACTTATAAAAGGCAGATAAGCTAAATCCATACCAACATCTTGTGTCTAAAGTACACAGACATGCACATGTTGTTTGAATCCCCATCACAAAGGCACCAGGCTAAAAGTCTAGGAATGAGGTTACTGATTTCACAAATAACCGGATGCTTATTTAAAGCTCCACCAGCAGCTTCCATCCAACCACTTTGATTAAGCAAGGAACAGAAAAGCTGAACAAGAGTTCCACGAAACACAATTCTGGACTCTAGTTCCACAGCTTTAGTGCGAAAAGCATCCTCACTGAATTTTCTAACAGCATCACCATTCTGACCAACATGGACCTCATCCATTGAATCCCAAGGCACACTTGCAAGACAATAACTTATAGAATTCAAGTACACTTTGAGAAGCTGATCATCAATGTCTTGCTTTAAACGTTTCAATATATTGCGTAAAACTCGAATAATGCAAGCCACTGAAGACCAATTTGCATTTTTCAGTTTTGATTTCAAGGCAATAATGACACCTGATGAATCATGCTTTGAAACCAGGGCTTTTGTAGATGCCCGCACCAAAGAATGCAAAAGAGCATTAGATATCAACAACTCCAAGCAGACACACAATGATTGCATAAATTCATCCCAATTGCCTCCCTGTAAAACATACAGTTTTGCAAGATAAGAAAAAAACAAAAAACAAAAAAAACAGTTGAACTTTCAAGGTAGCAAATTTTCACATACAGATGCAACAATGTAATTAGAGATGGCCACAAGAATGTTGCCTGCCAAATGTTGAACATATTGACTCTCAATTAGTAGCAGAAGTATCTGTAAGGAAACAACAATTTACAAGGTCAAGAGTAGAAATGGAACCACTGCTCTGTCAGCTAGGCAGCGATTCAAGTTCCATAAGAAAGTAAGAAAACATCAAGAACCAGATAAGTGATGCAGCTAAACAATCTTTATAGGAAAATCCTCTCACTCTCCCGTAGGTCCAAGGCAGCGCCCTCGTAGATCACCAAGGTGTCCTATTGTCCGTTCCGAGCAAGAGACTATAACCTGAAAACTTGCCCCAACCCCCTAGACAAATTCTGCTTAAGTTCTCGCGCAGCGGGAGAGCATCGAACCCACACCAAGTGCTGGGGTAACAACTTGAAACTTAACCTCCTAACCAACTGCGCTACACTCGGGGGATTGACCCAAGGAGTTTTGAACTTGAGACCTGGGGTCTTAACTCTCTGGCCTTTACCAAATGCACTACTGCCTTGGATTATATCTGTCTACTTTGGTAAATAGTGAAATGGGAAATCTATGAGATAAATTTTTCTTTTCCCCAGGCCAGGCAGATAACTTTCTAATGAAATCATAACCATAATATGATAATATTTCACCATATGTGAAGAGCTTTGAAAATATGTACTGCGCAAATCAGGCCAAATAATTGTATTACGACATTTCACTATATGTGAATCTTTCGACAATGCATGCTGAACAAACAGAGAGAGAAGATAAGTAGCACCGATAGAAGATAAGTTGAGAGAGAATCGATTGAGATAGTTTGGTCATATTCAACGGAGACCAACAGAGGCAGTAGTGAAGAGAAGCGATACTGTAATGGTAGATGGAAGTGTTAGGAGACGGGGTAGGCTTAAATTAACGTTGGTTAGTGTTGTAAATAGAGATATGGATCTACTTAATTTGACTAACGAAATGGCCTTTGATAGGGCCGTGTGGAAAAGAACGATTCATGTATCCAACCCCAATTGATGGAACTTAACGTTTGGTTTGGTTTGGCTTGGCTTGGCTTGGCTCAGTTTATGTTTCATTCATATTTTCCTCATTTTCCAAATCTCTATCCAAATCCATGATCCAACCCCAATTTAGGGTTTATTTGGGAAGTGGCTTTTTAGTTGTTAGCCACATGATGTGTGTATGCATCCAGAGGCAACTGACTACTTTTCCTTTCTTTTGGCATTATAGAATACATTCACACACACACACACACACACACACACACACACACACACACATATGCTTTCTCACCATATCAAGCATTCATTGGACCACTTATTGACTCGTGACACCTATCAAAATTGAAGTTTTCTTCAATGGCATCGAATATGGCAGACACAAACCATACATTATAAAAACAATACTTCTTAAATTTTACCACCTACGACATGTAGAGTTATTTAACAACAACAATGATACAAAGAACCAAAAATAATTATCTCGTGTATGAAGAAAGCTGCAGCCCTAGGCAGTAAATTCCACATAATCAAATTTCAGCTTAGCATAATAGCATGGTAATAAAGAACAGTTACCAAGTCACCAATGATCTTAGTTAAGCAGTTATGATCATCACAATGTGAGCCAACCGAACATTTGTTGTTGCAAACAGGTACTTTCACCACCATGCCCTGTTCCAAAATTTTGAATTTTAACTGATAAGTTCTTTAAAATGTCTAAATCTAAAAATTAAAATATACAAATATGGAGAGAGAGAGAGAGAGAGAGAGTCAGACATTGTCGGAATCGCTATCAAATTCATGTGTCCACAACTGAATTTGCCTCAACAACTGGAAGATAATTCGTAAAAGTAATCACCCAAACATATATTATTCAAAACAAAACCAAACCAAACCAAACCAAAAACCGAAATTACAATTGAAAGAAGTGGAGAGAACCTGAGAGAGAACGATTAGGAGGTCCTTCTCGGTCTCTTTGGTTAAGCAAAAAGCGAATTGATCCTGCAAATAGTATAATAAACGACAAAGATACGAATGAGGAAAAGAGTAAACAGATTGCTATGAAGAAAACAAGAAGCAAAGAATGATGAAACTGACTGTGAAGGGACGGAGAGACTCGTCGATTAGACGGCAGAGCTGCGAGTGTTGCATTTTCCGCTCTGAGTCGCTGACTTCGAATGGCTAAGTCACTGTTAGGCTTCTCTTCGTAGCTTCCTATTTATTTCTCGATTCCCCTCTTTTTAATTTTTAGGATATATTACACCACTTTGTAAATATTTCATTGTTTGTATTTTTATCTAACAAAATTAATCAAAAAATGAAAATTCATAATTATTTTCCTATATAATAATAAAATTATCTAAATTATTAATTGAAATATATTTATAATATTATTAAAAATTGTTAATTGACTTGATAATTTATTAATAAAATATGCGATTTGTTATAAAATTAGAAATTTCAGGAGATGGAATGTAATTTTCAAAACCACAGAGAGTGATTCGTATTTCAATCAAACCTCGGGGGTGTATTTATAATTTATCCTAATTTTAAAATAAAAATTAAGTTTTTTTAATAAAAACAAATTCAAAAATGGAGTTTTGTAATAAAATAAATCTTAGGCTTGGTTTGGGAAGTAGGTTGGCTTTTTGGCTTTTTGGCTTTTTTGGCTATTTTGGCTATTTTAGCCTGGGCTAAAAAGCTTTGTTTGGGAAGAGCTTTTTGGCTTTTTGGCTTTTTGGCTTTTTTGACTTTTTTTGTGAGAGAAGAATGTAATGATTATAGGTTGGATGTGATGTTTTGTTTGTTATGGCTAAAATAGCCTATTTTGTTTTTTGTGGCTAAAATAGCCAAAAAAGCCTGAAAACTAACTTGCCAAACAGAGGCTTAATTTTTTAGTTTGTCAATTTAAACTTAGATTTTATTTATTTATTTTTAATTTAAATGATTCTTCTATTTCTATTAAATAAAATTATCAAAAAAGACATACATTTCAGGAAAATTTACCCATAAATCTTATTTTTTGAAAAGTTAAACCATTTAGTCCTAAAAAATTTTTTATGCACCATTTAGTCCCATTTTATTTTGGTAATGTTGTTTATTTAATTTTGATTATTTTGCAGGTTACAATAGTACCCCTTTTGAGGAATGTTTGTTTCCTAAAAATCTGCAACATCATAAAAACATATACATCAAACATCACTAAAAAATTATACATCAAACATCAACATATACATTATACATCACTAAACAAACAACCATTTCTGAAGGATAATGGGTCGCCATTGATGGTCAATGTGTACCCATTTTTCAGGTGAAGGAACAGAGAGATTGATCAGACATAGTCTCAAACATTAACAACATTAACATCAACAAAAAAAATATACAACTTATTACATATTTTTATAGACTATTTCTAAAAAATATATTGATTGGTGTATATTTACAGACTATATTTTTACAAACATCATCAAAAAAATATTGTGAACATCATCAACATCATCAACATTCGAACATCATCACCATCAACTGCGTTTGTTGGCTACTTTTTCTCAAAAACCCTAACCCTAACGTTAAGGTCTGCAACAATGGTGGTGAAAGCTTCCAAGGCTAAGAAGAAGACAGTCACCATCGATCTCTACCGTCCTCTTCAAAATTACATAGTTTTCAATTACTCAGAACGCGAAGCCCGGAACCTCGAAGATGATCTCCAAATCCTAAAGCAACTGCGATCCGATCTCGAACGCGAACCACGAAGGCAGAGAGATCACGACCTCACAGCGGTGGTACTGGATCAGTGTGGATCGGCGCTGATGTTGACGATGTTGATCATGGCGTTGATGTCGCTGATGTTGATGATGGAACTAATGTTGATGATGTTGATCATGGCGCTGAGGTTGATGATGTTGATCATAGCACTGATGTTGATGATGGATCGGCCTTCCAGAAATGCTTCCACTTGAACACATCACCATTATACCCTCACGCTTGCAAATAGCAGCCTAAACACACAAAGTTACGAAACGTTAACATTGGGGTTACATTGCCCCAATTATTTCCACTATTTCCGCTTTCAAATGTAGATTTCCTTTCGAAATAATCTCGATGTTACTCGTCGTCACATTGAAACCCCAAATTTTCCATCTCTGCAACTTCACCACTGCCGAAGATGTCCCAATTCTGTAATTTTACAGAGTATCAAATTACCAAATTTGCCCACTAACGTCTAGATTCACACCCGTGATGTATATGCCCTCTATGGTCAATTTCCCTATAATGGGACCTTTCAGTCTATAAGAAATTTTTTTGGACTAAAACAGTGTATAAGTTGTTAATTTGAGATTTATTGGTGCATCATCTTATATTTTAATCACTAAACTCAATGAAAACGAATAACTTAAATATTTTTCATACAATTACATTCAATTTAATGACTACAATATTATTATTTTTTATATAGTTCTACTTAATGAAAATGAATCGATGGTTTAAATTAAAAATAAACTAAAATATTAAAGTTTAAATCGATCATTTTTCCATATAGAAAATGTCTCACTGTGTTTGATTATTCAGCTTTCAAAATCAAATTCTGAGTTTATAATTTGTATTATTTTATTTTTAATTATTTGTTCAATATTTTTTTTAATGCATCTAATCTATTTTGGTCCGATTAGATGCATTTAGAAAATAAAAATTAAAAATTAAGCAAAATATTAAAAATATATATTAATTCAAAATTCAAAATTTGATTTAAAAATTGAATAAACAAATAGAGTGGGAAGTTGCTATTTTAGTAGGCTAAAGTTTCTGAATATGTTTGTTTTGGCTTTGTAGAGTGATTTTGGAAAAAAAATTCTAAAAAACTTATTTGGTTTGAAATTTTTCTAAAACAATTTTCAAAATCACTTTCTCTTTCTTCCACATCAATCAATCACTTTTTCCCTCTCCTCCCTCCTTCTCAATCACTCTTTCTCTCACACACATCTATTCAATTACAACAAAATATCAAATCATTTCAAGCTTTCAAACTCTAAAACTACTTTCAAAATACACAACTAAACAAATCAAAAAAAATTCTAAACTCTCTCCCCAAAACAATTTTTAAAAACTATTCTCTCAAAATCAAACCAAACATACCCTTTGTGTTTGAAAAGATAATTGAATTTTTTTGTAGTTGAATATAATATTTGTGAGAGAAAAATAAAAATGATTATGAATTTAATGTGACATTTTATTTTACTAATTATTTTAGCTTTTTTTGTTTTTTTGTTTTTTTTTTTTTTTGGGCATAGATTTTAGCCTTAAAAAGACTAAAACAGCCCTTGCCAAACACCACCAGAGTGGTTTATCCTCAATCATCTGTTGAAGCATAGCAGATTATATGCACACGCAAAATTTCCTTGTTAGCAATCGTACTAGTTTCCTTGTTAAGCATCACCACTTCAATGCAACTCGAATGAGAGGAGAAGAAAAAAATTGAAGTACCGACGTTCTTGTGGGCTAACATATACGCCCTAAGGGACAAAAGTAATGCATGCCTTTAGGCAATTTCAAAGCAATCAAGTGGGTTGGTTTTTTGTTGAGCAATTGATAATTTTGAAATTGCAAAGAATGTGAATGCCATACCTCCAGTTAGAGCCACAAGTCTTTTTTATGCCACCATCACATGAAGCCTCTTCCATAGCATCTCTCCTCATTCAAAAATGCAACTCCACAACCACCCTCAGAAAAGCCCGCCAACTCCACGCCCTCTTCCTAACCGCCATGCCTGCCGCCCCTCAATCGCCGTTTCTCAACAACAACATCATCTCCATGTATGCTCGATGCAGTTCCCTCGGCGACTCTCGCCTCCTGTTCGACAAAATGCCTCAACGAAATATTGTCTCCTACAATGCCCTCATCGCGGCCTATTCTCGAAGCTCACAGCATGCATTTTCAGCCTTCAAACTGCTCGAACAATTGGAAAATGAAAGCCATCGACCGAATGGTTCCACGTTCACGAGCCTTTTACACGCATCTTCTTTGCTTGAAGATTGCTTGATGGGTTATGCACTTCACACCCAAGTCATAAAATTTGGATTCGTGGATGATACGCGTGTCCAAACATCCTTACTTGGAATGTATTCGAATTGTGGGGATTTGGGATTGGCGAAAGAAGTATTCGGCTGCATAGTTGACAAGGATGCTGTGGCTTGGAATTCAATAATTTTTGGGTACCTGAAAAATGAAAACATAGAAGGTGGTCTTCATTTCTATGGCAGCATGGCGAGGAGTGGTACGATTGCTACCCAATTCACATATTCAATGGTTTTGAATGCCTGTGGCAGACAAAAAGATCATAGCTTTGGGCAACTTGTACATGCCCAAGTGATCATATCTGGCGTAACAACTGATTTGCCTTTGCAGAATTCACTGCTTGACATGTACTGCAGTTGTGGAGACATTTCCACGGCATTTGAAATCTTTAGTAGAATTGAGAACCCCGATTTAGTTTCATGGAATTCAATGATGGCCGGGTATTCAGAGACTGGTCTTAGAGAGGAGGCCATGGAAATGTTTGTCCAATTGCAGCAAATGTCATTTGTTAAACCAGATGAGTATACGTTTGCAGCCATCATATCTGCAACAAGAACATTCCTCGGTTCTGAATATGGAAAACCACTGCATGCACAAGTTATCAAAACAGGATATGAGCTGAGTGTCTACGTAGGAAGCACATTGATATCTATGTACTTCAATAATTCTGAAACCAATTCAGCTCAAAAGATTTTCAGTTCAATCTCAGAGAAAGATGTCATTTTATGGACCGAGATGATCACAGGTCATTGTAGAACAGCTGATGGAGAGAATGCAATTAAGTTATTCCATGGAATGTTGCAGGAAGGCCAAAAGATTGATAGTTTTGCTCTCAGTAGTGCTCTGAGCGCCTGTGCTGACCTTGCGACTTTGAAACAAGGTGAGATGATTCATTGCCAGAGTGTAAAAACAGGATATGATGTTGAAATATCAGTCCATGGCAGTCTAATAGATATGTACGCCAAAACCGGGGACCTTCAAGCTGCTAAATCGACAATTTCCCAAGTCAAATCCCCTGATTTGAAGGCCTGGAATGCAATGCTTGGAGGGTATAGTCACAATGGGAAGGCAGAAGAAGCAATGAAGGTTTTTGATGAACTTCTGAAGAACAATCTCAGACCAGATCATGTAACATTCATTTCTCTCCTGACTGCTTGTAGCCACTGTGGATTGATTGATAAAGGAAAGTTTCTATGGAATTACATGAAAGAAAATGGTTTGAGACCTGGGCGTAAGCACTACTCTTGCATGGTTAGTTTGTTGAGTCGAGCAGGACTGTTGGAAGAGGCAGAGGAAATGATTTCCGAGTCACCTTTTAGTGAAGATTACATTGATTTGTGGAGAACATTGTTGGGCTCATGTGTCACCAACAGAAATTTAGAATTAGGGGTTCGCGTTGCTGAGGAAGTTTTAAGCATAGACGCAGATGACAATGCAACACATGTATTGCTTACCAATCTTTATGCAGCTGCAGGTAAATGGGACGCAGTCACAAGAATGAGAAGAAAGATGAGAGGACTGATGTTGGAAAAAGACCCTGGTTTAAGCTGGATTGAGGTTATGAATGATATCCATGTGTTCTCTTCCGGTGATCAATCACATCCGAAGATCAATGAAATGCAAGATGAATTGCATAGACTACAAGGAAACATGAAAAGATCAAAAACAGATGGAAAATGACAACTTTGAATGTTTTAATTAGAAGTGATATAAGTGTACACTTTGAATCTTTTAATCTGTTGATATGACGTGTCATCACCAGGCAATCTCTAAACCTTTTTTTTTTTTTGGTGGCAAGTTTAATCAATGATCCCTGTAAGTTTGCTTGAATTTCAATTTGAACACATTTGACTTTGAATTTTTAATTGCGTCAAATAAGAACAATTGTTTAACAACAGCTAGAAATAAACCCTCAAATAGCATACTCAGGCCAATAAACCTCAAATGGCATCAAACTTCAGATCAACTCACAGAATTCATCTAATTTGTCAAATCAGGAGACAACACTCCAAAAAATTCTTAACAGGGATCTACAGCAAAAAACACTTACTAAAGTTTTATTTTACAATGTTACAGTGACATGGATCTCCAAGCATTATATCGGCAACATTAGAAGCCGGAAGAAAAGAAACAGAACTCAGATGCAGAGGCCCACCAGCATTCGGAAATGAACTCTGTTAGAGATTATGGCACATCCATCAACTCCAAAGCAAAAGAAGCGGCATTTGAGATCTCAAAGAGAGCACAAATAACTAATGGTAATTCCCACAAAATGAGTTATCCAGATGCTGAGAATCAATTGTGCGTATAACAAGTTGCACAAGTTGCCTCCATTTTCAGAACATCAAGAAATGCCTACTACCTAGCGTCGACCACTGCGACTTTTTGCTCTCGCTTTCTGCAACAAATAGGAGAATTAATAAGATACTTGAAAAATGGAAAATCAGTCTTTGAATTGGTCTAATGAAAATCAAAACCAAGCAGGCAGTGGTTTTTTTCCCCCCAAAAAAACTGGATAACATAACGAAAGAGAACCTAACATGGTTTGTTATTCATATTAACCAAATAGCCCCTTATTTAAAAATAAAAACAAAAAATTGTTTGAGTTTTCAGTTTCAGCATTTAGGAAAGCAGGATTTAGGTGAAGTAGAGGGCAAAACAATTTAATTCAGGAATGTCAAGAGGCATTCAAATAGTCAAAAGCCTGACTGGAGTTGGATTGTAATTTCACTCAGACTTTGTCCAAAGTTCCAGGGAAAGGGAAAGCATATGCACAAGCGTGTGCGCGCACACACACACACACTCAGAGAGTCAAAGAGTTGTGAGCAAAGTTACTTACAGATGCAGTCCCAAAGCTCGCCCCTGACCCTGTTGCAGCACCTAGGATAATGTAAGAAAATCAATCAGATGGTAAGGAAAAGATTGAAATTAGAAAATCAGCAACTGCCACGGCGAAAGTGGTAATATTAGGTTTTTGTGACTCCTATTATTAGTAATACTGCACATAGTATAGCCAATATCATTAATAAAAAAAAAAATTTAAAAATTGTGTGATTAAAATAAGTTTAGTTGATTATGTAATATCTGTTAAAATGTATGCAATCATTATGTCAACAAACAATGGGTTAACAATCATTCGTATTGCAAGATCAGCAAAGCATACTTGATCAACAATCATATCAATACATCAAAATTAAGAACAACATTAGTTCAGAGTCTTACAAACTGGCAGGCTCAAAATCACATTCATAAAGTATGAGTTTTTTAATATGCTTGGAATAACTAAATTAACAAGCACTGTGAGAGAACTGAATCCATCATGAATGCTTTGGTCATTAATAAACATGATTTCAACAGTCCTGTCCAAAATCAAACCCCATTGTCATACTGCGATGATGTTCCATGCATTCTTATTTCTTAATCTTCAGCAAAATATTGATCTTTTCGTGTTTAAAGTATCATTCCCAGAATATAACCTGTCACAACGCCAAGATCTTGGCACAAAAGTAAATGTCAATTTCGGACTAAAATTAGTGCTGCCCAATAATATCGTGAAAGATTACTTCAGATCCAAAACAAAATAATAACAGCAAGAAGAATAACATTCAAAATTTGCAAGTTCCTTTTGCATGCATCCATCACTGTTTTGGCTTGAACTTTACTGGGAGGTTTAAATATCAGAAGCAAAAGAATTCTGTTAATTAATAATAGTATCCCTAATTCACTAATACTAAACGACATAGCCATAGAATGTACCTGAAGCAAATGGGGAAACTCCTGCAGAAAGAGTTGAACCAAATAGAGCTCCAGTACTACCTAAGGAAGAAGTTGTAGCACCAAAAAGTGGTGTCTGGGGCGAAGCAGCAGATGCTCCAAATAAGGACGATGTCGGAGCAGAAGTGATGGGAGTGGAGAATAGAGAAGATGATGATGTGGCAGCAGATGGAGTACCAAAAAGCGAGGACCCACTCCCTGATGATGCTGCAACTGCTGCAGAAGTTTGCGGGGCAGTTGATGCACCAGGTGTTGCTGAGCTGGCAAACAACCCTGCAACTTGAGTTGATGGTTGTGGAATTGCAGGCAAATGCAAGGTTGGATGTACCCTCCGAGCAGCAGCTTCTTGTTTGGCTGTTTCCCGTCGATCAGCCTCAAGAAACGGATCATTCCCATCTCCCCGGCGGCGCTGGTCAGCAAGATATGCTGTTTTCATGGATTCAATGTACTGATGAATGCTCTCCACCTACAGAGAAGCAGGTCATACAGCTCTTACAAAAGGTGATAAATACAACAACAACACAAAAAAAAAACCAGCATACTCATGAGCATATTGGAAAGCATCTCCAACCACTTGTAGCAAGTAAAAAGGTAATATGAACTTATAAAGGGCACACAGGATACGATTTCTGAGCTCCATTTACAGTAAACTCACACCATCACTGATGCAAACAAAATTGTAGTAGCGAAATGCATATTATAACAATTCTGAAGGTAAATTGGGACAGTGGTCCAGCGAAAAACTGCCACTACTGTCATGCAATTACTACCTGTAAGAAATAATGTATAGAGAAAGAGAGAGAATAAATTGTATGTATTATTATTGATTGATATATTGATATCTATTACAATGATTCATGATTCCTATATATAGAAGAGTAGGTGAAGTGGAGGTGGTAGTGGTGTAGTGGGTTAGGTTTAGTGGAGTAGGTTAAAATTGTAGTAGCAAAATGCATATTATAACAATTCTGAAGGTAAATTGGGACAGTGGTCCAGCGAAAAACTGCCACTACTGTCATGCAATTACTACCATTAATGAATAATGCAAGAGGAATGAGGCAAAGAAACTGTCCTACCTTCCAAAAAGACTTTCAGTTACTTTCAATTAGAAAATTTGCATCTTCTTTCATTACAAAACACAACCTTGGAAGATAAACTAATAATGCGTCAACAAACATTATTAAATATTAAAGAACACTTTTGGTACAGAAAACTCTAAAACACAAAAAATTCAGTTTTCTTTACCTTTGCAGCCACATGAACAAAAAAGTCATGCACATTTGACATGACTTTGGGTAGAGACTGCAATAACGAGGAGCTAGAGTTCAAGGAGTTCCTGTCAAAATCTATGAGGAGCAGCTGCTCTAACTCTTCAATCCACAGCCGGCACTCACCGATATACTTCTCAAATCTGACAACTGTTTGCTGCAAAAAGGGAGATGGTTTCCTTGGGAGCCCACTATAGAAATCAAAAACTGGAACTACTGAGGCAGCTGTTGGTTGACTGCTTGCATTTGGCACCACTGCAGCTCCTGAAGCCTGTGACGGTGCAGCGGCATTTGAAGCAGCACCTGCATTTGGATGAATAAACCTTGGGCGCAACATCACGAAAGAACGAATAGCAACCTCTGTGTTACGTAGCATATGTTTAACAACAGCCATTAATTCTTGCAAAACAGCTTTCTGCCGTTCCATTGATGTAGTGATTCCACCAAGTTCCTGCCATGATAATTAGAAAGTTTCATCATCATGCAATAAACTCAGAATTAAAGAGAAAATGAGCTGAAAAGAGGCCTTAGAAGCTCAAGTACCACACTGTTCTCAAAAAACTTGTAAAAGAATCCTAGGTTTGCAACTGGTGTTTATTGATCACAATAGGTGATGATGTTAAATGATTAGTTTAAGAAAATTTGATGAACACGGCTACCAAGACCTTGCTGAGATAACCAGTAGTTAACCTTCATTCCAAAAAATTCAAGGAATTAAACAATAATTTATACATAGTTTACAGCAGTTGGGGTTTGTGAATTATTGAAAAAATAAAATTTGAAGTCGAAGGAATAATTTGTTCCAACTAGTTTGAAAAGATAATAATTCAAAATATTCAGAATAATTCAGGAATTCTGTCAGAGACATTTATGTTACTTCACATAACAAAGAAACCAAGGGAACTGGACACATTCATAATATTCTCCCCGTGGAAGTTCCAAATTTACAGAATTTCAAATCTGCTCACCCTAAATTTTCAGTCGGGACATAGATGAAAGTATAAAGGTTTACTCTTGAAAGGTATTTCGCTAAAAGGTTATCGCAACAAAAATGTTGAATATTGAAATTTTGAAAGCAAAAAAAAAGTATAGGACTATATAATAGCAACAAAATAATTGATTTTGATGGTGATAACATTCGTATGACCTCTCTCTATCCTAGAGACTGGTTTTATTCAAACGACTAACCCAAACCAAAAGATGGCAGACGGTTTCCTAGCTTACACAGGCATTACTCAGTAAAATGAAACCGAAAAACTCAAGTTTGGCTAGGAAAAAGCTTGGTTGAGCTCACTTAATAGCCCAGTTGAACCAACGTTGAGCCAAAATTGAAGCTTGTTGTAAGGTGAGCAAAGTCCAATCAGCCAATGGCTCTTCTGGGTAGAGCTTGTGATTCTAGTGTTCTTGAGACTGTTTTAACTAGACACTTGTAATTTGCTCTCTTTTAAATAGAAATTTTCAAATAACTTTGAGATTCTAATTCTAATTGGTAAAATAACAAATAGTGAAATTTTTAAATACATAAAGGACCTCTTAGGTTCAAAACTAGACTTAACTTCTTTTCTTTGTCCATTGATTTTCAATCAAAAAGTTAACAAATTTGTTTGAAAACATACTATCCAATAAGAGATCAACACATGCCTCAAAAACCAGGTTTAGTCTTCCAAACCACCCTTGGAACTTTTCATACCAGGCAATATAACGAGCCAAGGTGAGCTCAAAACCTCAACTAATAAGCAATTCGATCATATCCACCTCTTTCATTAAAATCATTTGCTTATGATGAGTAATCTTCTAGGGTAACTATTTGTCAACTGTAATATATAAGGGATCATTTTAAATGAAGCCTATCATCAAATCAAGAGATTATCCAGAATATTCATCTAACCAAAACTACTTCTCAATAATAGAAGAGAGAGTAATATGTACTCTATGAATTAAAAAACAAAAAGGCATTATTGTAGAAAAACAACTGGGATGTATCACTTCACTAGGAACTTAAAGCAGTATCAAATCTAAAGTGCCATGCCAACACATATCTCAAAGGACCACAGAGTTCTAAGTGGTAGTATTGACAATGCACCAGGTTTTCATCCAGGCTATGAGGTATTTATTTTACTAAATGCTATCTCAGTTCTACACAGTGGATCAGATATCCATCTGTGATGCCAGACCCTCTGTACATTAATCTTTGTTACAATTATTTGAAGTAAAGTAACAAGTGGGGTTAATACTTCTTTTCACAAAAGGATAAATTTTAGGAACAATCCAGTATCATTCAATCATAGACAAGCTTTTAGTTACTCATCTTGGACTTCCATGTGAAGGTATAACTAAACCTATGTAGTTAAAGGGAAAATCGCTGTAAGATGGAGGGAGAATTGCAATGGTATATAGGACCATGAAAGAGGATGATGAGAATGTGACTGATTATCCACCCTAACCGAGCTTTGTTGAGAAAGTAACTATACTAAGTTAACACAGAATTGACAATTGTGTGGCACATAATGTCACAAGCAGCAAAAGACATCCAGTAAATCAAAAGAGTGAAAACCTGAACAATGTGGCTTGCGTCGGGCTCGAACCCGTCACTGGAGACAGAAGAATCATAAAGTCGACTACACTGATCCAGCCGCTGGCTTTCATCCCTGTACTCCAGTATTTTCTCCCTATTGACAAAACCACTACTTTAGCAACTCAAAACCCTAAAACAGCAAATCAAATCCAAACTCTACCAACAAATTACCCAAAATTACACGTTCCAAACGAAATTCAAATGCAACATTAAACCCTTAAAACCCCAAAACATCAATCAATTAATCAAAACGAGTAAAATTGTTAACACTCGTACGCATACACACATACTCGATTTGAAGGAGGAATTTTTGAGAGTCGGGGTGGAGATCGGCCCATTTGGTGCTGTAAGTGGCCGGAGTTTTCTCATTGGTAAAGAGATAGAGTGGTTGTTGTTGTTGTTGTTGTTGTTGTTGTTGTTGTAGTTGCTGCTGTTGCAGCTGAAATTGTTGTTGCTGTTGCTGCTGCTGCTGCTGCTGCTGCTGCTGCTGTTGTTGTTGGAGTTGAAATTGTTGCTGTGACTGTTGCTGTGGTTGGAAAAATGGGCTGCTCTGTTGAAATGGTGATTGTTGTTGAGGTTGGAATAGTTGCTGTTGTTGGGGTTGCTGTTGCTGTTGCTGCTGTGGAGTGAATGAAAACGCCATTGTTTTTTGAATCCTTCTTTTTGTTTCTTGTTAAATGGGTTTGGAATACATATCAAAAATAGAGAAGATCAAGAAAACCCCTGCTTTAAAACCCTAGAATAGAGGGAAGAGAGGACTAATGAAAAAAAGACCCGCCTTCGGCTACTGTTTTCAGTGTTTTGGGAAATCTTAGCTTAAAAGCTGTATATATCGCTGATGGGCCTACTGGGCCTCAGGATTAATTTTCGAAAAAAAGCAGGCCCCACGGTTTGCAACAAGAGCCCTTGGACCAATCTTGCTTTTGGGCTTTTTGGTTTTGGACCAAGATTACAAAAACAAAAGTACCACATTTTATTTTTTATTTATTTTTTTTGTTTTCGGTCTCGGTTTCCCGAGAGCGTTTGGCTAACTTAACGCACGCCTCAATTAATCCCTCGTCGCAATGAGAGCCTGGCACTGACTCGTTTGATGACACTTACCTTTTAATTTTTAATTTATATTTATAAAAATTTAAAAAATTTAAATAAAATAATTATTGGTAAATTTTTAATTTATAAATTAGTGGTCTCATTTTATAAATTTGACCAAAAAATATAAACTCAAAAAATGTATTTCCGTTTTTAGTTTTTAATTTTTTTTTTTTTACCACTCAACACTAGTCACCACCGGCCACCATTTTTCCACCACTGTCTTCCGCCTCCGCCACCACCACCCACCCCCACCACCACCTGCCACCACCACCCACCACCCACCTGCCACCCACTCACCACTACACCCACCCCCCCCCGCTACCACCACCATCACCCACCACCCACCTGCTACCCACTCGCCACCACCACCACCACCGCCACCCCCTGCCACCACCGCCCACCGCCTATCACCTACCACCCACATGCGCCCACCGCTACCACCACCCACCCAACCGCCACCACCACTATCACCCACTCGCCGCTACCACCACTATCACCCAGCCACCCGCTACCACCACCCACCCAACCGCCACCACCACTATCACCCACCCACCCGCCACCGCCACCACTCACCACTCACCTGCCACATTCACCCACCACCCGTCACCACCACCACCATCACCCACCACCACCATCACCCACCACCCACCCGCCGCCACCACCCACCTGCCACCACACCAACACCACTCGCCACCACCCGCCACCGTCACCCACCCACTCACCCACCACCACCACCACCCACCCACCCGCCACCACCCTATCCACCACCCACCTGTCACCACCATCCCCCACCCGTTACCGCTTTCCACCACCGTCTTCCGCTGCCACCACCCGTCACTTGCCACCACTTTTCACCACCATCTTCCGTTACCACCACCACCACTTGTCATCACTTTTCACCACTGTCTTCTGCCACCATCACCCACCACTTGCCACTGTTTTCCACCACCGTCTTCCGCCACCACCACCCGCCATCATTTTCCACCACCGTCTTCCGTCGTCACCACTCGTCATCGCCCACTACCCGCCACCACTTGCCATTTCTCATTCTTTTTACATTTTGTCTAAACCAAACGCGTTTGTAGTTTATATTTTTCTAAAAATAAACAAAAATCAGTTTATAAAATTTTTGTAAATATAAACTGAAAACGTTAAACGTACCAAACAGGCCCGAAGTGTTACAACTATCGAAACTCCAAATGGGGGTAAACTTACGCTGTATTTGATTAAGAGATTTAAAAAGAAAAATAAATAAATAAATAAATAAAATATATTTATATTTTATTTAATTTATACACATTTTAATTTTTTTTTTTTTCAAATTTTTAACTAAACACAACGTTAATTGAATCCCAAAATTTTACCCAACGATGGATAAGTCACTGGGTAACAAGCTCGTGTGCATACATATAGTATAATGGATCTATATTATCATTAGTTGATATTTTCATCATCATAATGATATGTGTATATATGTATATATGCTTTGTAATTTGGTGTATATTTATTCGTAATTTTATGTTTCTCAAGATTGAGAGAGAGATAGAGGATTTTGGATTTTCATTAGCTAGGTGAAGTATTGCTTGACCTCAAATCTCCTTATTCCTATATTTGAAAACACTCGTAATTATTAAATTTTTTTGAAAATTCCATATATGATAAATTTGAAATGTGATCTCATTATCATCAATTTTTTTGGAACATAAAGACAGGAAGGATTTGGAGCCTAAAATTTCAAAAACCCATTAACTAATTTTTTTATTTTTTTCCATTTGTTAGCAAGAAAACTAAATTTATAGGTCGTTGGACTATATTATAAATACTATCCTCTTTTCTATTTATTAATTATATACATAGTGTCTATTTGGAAATTTAAATTTTAGTGATATTTAACTGAAATATGTTTGTAAATAACTTTTTAATTTTTTATAAAAAAAATCATACAAAATGTACATTGAATATAAATAAATATTTAACTCTTGATGAGTTTAAGTTTAAGTTTGTAGTAATTTATAACTATAAGACCATCTCTAACGGTTCACCAAAGTTACATTAAATTTATAAATTTGGTAAAAAGTTACTGTTTGGTGCTCCAACGGTTTGCACCAAATCGATATCAAAATTGAAATTTCAGCAAACGATCATCAAACTGAGGACAGAATACATATTTTCATCAAAACGCTGTGTGTGACCGTTGAAGCAGAAAAGCTTCAGAATTTTACACATGGGTCGACACTTGGATGACCACCTGGTCGACCCCTTAGTTGACCACCCGGTGACCACCGGTCGACTAGTGCATGCGAAATTGGCCTGGTTCAAACAGTTCAAAAAGGTAAAAAAAAAATAAAAATTGACTTTACCGGTCGACCCACCGGTTGACCCAGGAGGTAGGTTCAAACAGTTCAAAAAGGTATTAAAAAAAAAAAATTCTCCTAACCAGTCGACCTGCGGTCGACCATCCGGTTGTCCAGAAGGAGATTGATGAAGTGAACCGTTGGAGCATTCAGTATCAAATTGAGGAAATGACCATTTTTTTACTCAGATTTGGTGAAACATAGGTGAACCGTTGGAGATGCTTTAACTCCTTATCAAATGGCCTCAAACTCTCTATCTCGGTTAGTCATTTTAGGGTCTGTTTGGGAAGATTTGTGGCTAAAATAGTCACAAAAGACAAAATAGGTTATTTTAGCCACAGCAAATAAAACATCACATCCAACCCATAATCATTACACTCTTCTTCATAAAAAAAGTCAAAAAAGCCAAAAATTCAAAAAGTCCTTCCCAACCAAGTTTTTTAGCTCAGGCTAAAATAATCAAAAAAATAAAAGCCAACCCACTTCCCAAACCAACCCTTAATGAGCTTATTAAGGGTCATTTCTACTCTAAAAAAATAAAAAATCCAATTTCTCAAGTGCTATTATAGAATGTAAAAAAATCGAAAAAAATTCGACCAAATCAACTGAACCGGACCAAATCGGTTATATTTGGTTGTTTTTTAACAATAATTGGTCCGTGCTGTTCTTAAATTTATTTAATTTTTTAATTTTCGGTCGGTATCGGTTTAAGCATCTTGTGCACCGATGTAAATCGAAACCAACCGTTTCAACATATATGTATTTATAATATAATATATATATATATATATATATAACTAATAATATAATGATATTAATCAGTTAATAAATTATTAACCTTAATTAATTAATCTATCTCTTACAACCTTAAGTTTGTAAACTCTTATTATATACAATCGTAACTCTAATTCATTATTCTTGAAACCTTAGTTATTTTTTTTAAAAAAAAAATTGTTTTATTTTTGTTAATTTAGGAATTGAAAGTATATATTTAAATGAAGGATTGGTATGTGGGTGTTTGGGAATGGACCGAATTAGAAGAAGTTTATAGGGCTATGACCTCTTTATTTTTGTAAAAAATTATAGTTTTTTAAAAACATATATACCATTTATATAATATAATCGCCTTTTAATATAAAAAAATATATACTCATTCGTTCTCTCATATTACATTCTCTTTTAATTTTTTTAACAAAAAAACATATTCATCCCATTAGAGATTATTTCTATGATATATAAATTTTGTTATGTATATAATAGTTTTAAACATCATATGTAATATATGTGTATTTGTGTATATAGTAAAAAAAATTATTGTTATTTTGATCTCTCGCATAATGAAATTCTGATTACATTCCCAAGTATCAGTGTTAGTAAAATTATTGGCGTTAATTCTACATTTGAATAATCATCACTTCTCACATCCATCAAATGTTTTTTTAATATTAATCATTAAAATATTAATGATAATTTTGTTAGTCAACCAGGATGCAATTAGTCCATGACACTTCAAAGTGGATATAAATAGACATTTAACTATTAAATGAAAGTAATATATAGGGTTGGTTTGGGAAGTAGATTGATTTTTTGGTTCTTTAATTATTTAGTTGGAGGTTAAAAAGTTTCGTTTAGATAATTTTTTAGATTTTTTTAATTTTTGTGGAGAAAGAATGTAATGATTATAGGTTAGATGCGATATTTTGTTTTATTAGATTAAAAATTTATTATCTTTTTTTTATGACTAAAATAATTCCCAACCCAATCCAACCAACCCAATGTTGCCAAACGAAGCATAAAAGTAGATTTTAAACTAAAAATAAACTAATTTCATGAAGGGAAATGCTCTAACAAAATGATAAAATTGATTGAAAAGGGAATCCACCGATAGCCTGATGAGGCACTTGGCGATATTAAAAATAAATAAATTAAGTAGTGTTTGGTTTTGTTTTTTAAGTCATGATTTGAATAAAAAATAAAAAAATAAAAAAATAGTTTAGTTAATATGTTTTTAAAACATAACTCAAAATTATTTTTTCTCTTTCCTTTCTCTTTTTCTTGTTTTTTTTGTTTATTGTTAATAAATCAATCCATCACTTTTTTTCTCTCCTCTCTCCTCTCTCATTCTATACATCAATCAATCAAAAAAAAAAAAAAAATACAAATCATTCAAAGGTTATTTCAAAACTCATAATAAAACATATTTTTAACTTTTCAAAATTCATTTCAATAACTTATCTTTCAAAATATAATTTGGGTTGGTTTGGCAAAGGCTCATTGGGCTTTTTTGGCTCAATGAGCCATAAAAGACAGAATAAGCTCATGAGCCACAACAGACAAAACATCTCATCCAACCCATAATCATTATACTCTTCTCTCACAAAAAAATCAAAAAAGCAAAAAGCCAAAAAGTCCTTCCCAAACTAAGCTTTTTGAGCCCAGGCTCATATAGTCAAAAAAGTCAAAAAATCAAAAAGCCAACCCACTTCTCACACGGAGGCTTTAAAACTCAAACTTATTTTAAAAACTAAACCAAAAGAACATAAACTTTCCCCCAATTTTGGCTAGAATTGCTTGAGGCAAGAACTCATTTCATGTACAGTTTGGAGGTTGAGCCTGACTTGAGTAATATAACCGTGGCAGTGGCTGTTCTTATTGATCAAATTACATTGGTGTCTAACGATAAAAAATAAAAAATAAAATTTCCTAATTGTATTATAGCATTATTCAATATTAAATTATGAAATTAATTTAAATACAAGAAAACACATTGTTAGGAAAAGAAAAAAAATGCTAAATTAAAAGAAAAGGCAAATGAAGAGCCCCCAATTAGGAGCCGACCCAAACATAGCTTCTGTTGGAGCCGACTGAAAAATGTCGCGAACAACAGAAAACACTGCTAAAGCTGTTCACTCTTGCATATAAGCCTCAGAACCCAGAACCTGTCTCTCTCTCTCTCTCTCTCCACCCATAAAACCCCACCTCTATGCCTCCCAAAAGCAGCCAAACATCTTCCATTCTAATTTTCCACCACCTCCATAAACTCCATCCCCCCCTTCCTACCACCACTAACCTTTTCCCAAATCTTCACTACTTCACTCCCTCTGAACAGAAACAGAACTGTACAAACAACAACAAAATGCCATCAGATTTCTGGTGAGAGAGACCCACAAGACCACAGCAAGTGGGTGCGCCACCGCCGGAGGCCGGAGCACCTCCCCTGCCCTCGCTGCGACTCCACCAACACCAAGTTCTGCTACTACAACAACTACAACTTTTCTCAGCCCGCCACTTCTGCAAGTCCTGCCGCCGCTACTGGACCCACGGCGGCACCCTCCGCGACATCCCCGTCGGCGGCGGTAGCCGCAAGAACGCCAAACGCTCCCGCCCAACGACCACCACCTCTCCGCCGCAGCTCAGGACTACCACCACCACCACCACATATCGGTTCCCACCCGCCACACCAGTTTTGTTCGGCCTCTCCTCCGCAGCCGCAGAGCACGGCCTGTCCGTACCGTTGTGGGTGACGTGAAGCCGGGTCTGAACGGTTGCGGAAGTTTTACTTCCTTGTTGAGCACTCAGGCACCTGGGTTCTTGGCGCTGGGTGGGTTGGGCTTGGTCTTGGGTCTGGGTTTGAGGAAATGGGATTTGGGCTTGGAAGAGCTGTTTGGCCCATTTCTTCGGTTGGGGATGGTGGTGCTGTTGGCGCTGCTGGTGGTGCAAATATGATTGGGAGTACGTGGCAGCTTGAGAGTGGTGAAGGTGGGTTTATTACTGGTGAGGATTGCTTTTCGTTGCCGGATCTTGCTATTTCCACACCAGGGAATGGTCTTAAATGAGGTGTTTGTTTTGTATTGGTAATCCCTTTTTGTTTTTAGTATGATGATGATGATGCTGATGATGATGATGATAATAGGTTTTGTTGCCTTAACAACTACATGTTAAAGAGAGTTTTGATTTAGGTCTGAAATGTCAGAGGAAGCAATGGTTGTTCTTGATTGTGGACTTACCTTTTCTTATCCATGGTTTTTCATCAGTTTAATTTCGTTTGTTAGATAATTTATCAATTTTTATGTTAGCATCCATTTCACAGTCGCTCTATTACTACATATCAATGCCACAATCAATGTTGGACCGAAAAGAAAATGCCACATGCAATGTGGTACAATTTCTACACAAGAAAAAGTGTTAGGTTAGACAAAATTTTCAAAATTATACGGCGGCAGTGATGTTTTGAATTATGAGCTGGGGTGATTAGACTTTCACTTGAGATAAAATATTTCAGATCCGTAATTAAATTTTTACAAATTTAATTTATAATAATATTAATTTGTTATATATTCAATTACAGAGAATTTTTTTTCTTGTCAGAGAATTACAATGTGTCAAAATCATGTCTAAATGTTTTTTTTTAACGTTTAGTAATAATATGAAATTTATTTAACAGCACAAATTTGATAAAAAAAAAAAATGTTTATACTTTCTAATTTAATTTATAAGCATTTGATGTTTGTACTTTCTAATTGTATTTGAATTTAAGATTTGATAGGAAAAAAAAAAAGTGATAAAAATTTAACGTATACTCCTTTGTTGTACATTGTTGGTTCTTTTCAATATTTTTGACTTCCAAAATACTTTTATATATATATTTTATTTCTTATATACTTTGAGTTTTGAATACTTGATAATATAATATATTTTATTTGATAACATGATTATTACTATTATATAAGTAATTAATCCATATATTTTTATCAAGATACAAAAATCGAAAAACAATTAATACAACATATCCGAATAAATGAACAAATAAAGATCAAATAAAAACAAAAGTATTTTTTTTTTTTGCCTTTCTCCTTATAATTCTCAAATCTTACATCTAAGCACATGGTAGAAGTAAATTTTGACATAGAACGCTGAATACATACACCCAGTGGGGGTCGACCCCAGTGAGTGTCACTCCGGGATTGGCCCCAAAAAAACAGTTATTTTTTTTTTTTTTTTTGTGTGTTTTCAGCAAATAAGGGGTCGCCACCTCACTGGGGGTCGACCCCCAGTGGAGGTAGGAAGCATTTTTGTTTTGACATAATAATGATTTTGCAAGGCCATCAGACGGGCCTTTTTCCAAATTATGATAAAATAACAACTTATTTTTCAAACTAAAGTCTAGTTTGTACAAAATTTTAAATTAGTCTAAAACGTGGTTGTGAACCATGCTTTCACCGTTTATCTAACCCTCTCGCTGAAAATTTCTAAAATTGTAAAAGCATAGTTACAAACCACGTTTTTTAAATTTATTTTTTTTCTTTTCATAAAACGTGATTTCAAAATACGCTTTTGAGCAAAATGTGAAAACGTGTTTTCAAAACAGGTTTTCAACAAAACAAAAAACAAACCCAACACTCTCTTCTCTCTCTCCTCTCTCTCTCTGTGACACACTCACACACTCACGTCCATATACAAACCACGTGTTTTCAATAACTATTTTTTTTAATTAATTTTTTTTGCCAATCCCGGAGTGACACCTCACTGGGAGTAGGAAGCATTTTTTTTAATAACTGTTTTTTTTTTTTGCCAATCCCGGAGTGGACACCTCACTGGGGGTGGACCCCCAGTGGGGGTAGGAAGCATTTTTGTTTTGACATAATAATGATTTTGCAAGGCCATCAGACGGGCCTTTTTCCAAATTATGGTAAAATAACAACTTATTTTTCAAACTAAAGTCTAGTTTGTACAGAATTTTTAAATTTCTAAAACGTGGTTGTGAACCATGCGTTCACCGTTTATCTAACCCTCTCGCTGAAAATTTCTAAAATTGTAAAAGTATGATTACAAACCACGTTTTTAAATTTATTTTTTTTTCTTTTCATAAAATGTGATTTCAAAATACGCTTTTAAGCAAAATGTGAAAACGTGTTTTCAAAACAGGTTTTCAACAAAACAAAACCAAACCCAACACTCTCTCTCTCTCTCTCTCTCTGACACACTCAACACCTCACGTCCATATACAAACCACGTGTTTTCAATAACTATTTTTTTTAATTATTTTTTTTTTCAAATAAAATTAATTGTAAAAAAATATATATTAGTAAAATTTTTAAATTTTGTTTAAAAACCAACGTAAATTCATTTTTTTGAATTTATGATTTTTCTTCAAATTTACAAATTGAGACAACCATTTATATAATAAAAAAAAATTGTCAAACAAGTTTTTATAATAGTTTTTAAAATTTTGTAAATATTAAATTAAAAATTGAAAACTAAATGGTTACCAAACATGCCTTAGATGGTAAAAATGTCGTAAAATAAACAAATAATTAAATAAGTTACCAACGTAAGAAATGACTTATCAAAAGATTTTTAGGCTATGTAAAGTTTGATTTTTAGAAATTTTTTTTTAAAAGAAATGACTTATCAAAATTTTTTTCGAGTGGTTAGAAATAATTTTTTACAAATTAAATTGAAGTGTAACCTGCCTGATAGTTAAAATGATAATTATTTTTTACCCTTAAATGATAATTATTTTTTATTTCTTAACCAAATTAATTTTTAATTTAAAAAAAAAAAAATTAAAAATCAAACCATACATAGCCTAAAAATCTTTTGATAAATAATTTTTCTTACGTTGGTAACTTATTTAATTATTTGTTAATTTTTACGACATTTTTATCATCTGAGACATGTTTGCTAACCATTTCGTTTGCAGTTTTCAATTTATATTTACAAAAATTTAAAAAACTATCATAAAAACTTGTTTTGATAATTTTTTTGTTTTATAAATAGTTGTCTCAATTTGTAAATTTGAAGAAAAAACGTAAATTTTAAAAATGAGTTTACGATAGATTTTAAACAAAAATTTAAAAATTTTACTAACAAATTTTTTTCAATTAATTTTATTTGAAAAAAAATTAATTGAAAACAAAAAATTAATTAAAAAAAAAAATTATTGAAAACACGTGGTTTGTATATGGGCGTGAGAGAGAGAGAGAGAGTGTGAGAGAGAGAGAGAGAGAAAGAAGAGAGTGCTAGGTTTGGTTTGTGTTTGTTGAAAACGTGTTATGGAAACATGTTTTCACATTTTGTTTAAAAGTGTTTTGAAACTACGTTTTATGACCAAAAAAAAAAATTTAAAAGTGGTTTGTGACTACGCTTGTACGATTTTAGAAACTTTTAGCGGGGAGGGTCTGGTTCACAATCACATTTTAGCCTAGTTTGGAATTCCGTCCAAACTAGACCTAATTTGAAAAATAAGTTACTATTTTTACCTTAATTTGAGAAAAGACCCCATCAGACCAACACCTAGGATGGTCACGAGTGGGTTTGAGGTAGGTTTGTAATAGTTGGGAGTAGAGCAAATCAAGTGGTGGTGGAATGAGAGATATGTTAAATTTGTAAGTTGACGAATAAAAATATATTAAAATTATACATAATGTAGTATATTATGATAATAATTTATATTTAATGAGAATTATAAAATATAAGATATAAAAATAATAGATCTGTAAAAGTTAATATTAAGTATAATATTTTAGTGTCTTAATTTATTACAGTGAAAAAAATTTATATTATATATTATATATATAAAAATATTGGCAAAGTTGGGTAGGACGGGGTGGTGAAAGCAAAATCTGTTCCGGCCCCACTTTCTGAATAAGGGAAAACCCAAGCGGAAAATGCAGGAGCAAGATGGAGAGAGAATGGCCATCTCTAATAGCTAGGGATGTAATCGGTTCATATGGTCGGTATTTAGATAAAAAAATTACACTGAACCGATAATGTCGGTTTTATTATTTCGAACATCGATATAGACCACTTCTCCCATCAAACCGTACCGAACCGAACCGATTCAAACGGTTCGGTTTGGTGTGGTTTAATCGGTTTAGGATTTTTCAAATTTGAGACACTTTTAAATATAATCATTAATCTATATAAAAATATTAAATTAATTATTTGTCTACCATTTCAAACATGTGGCGGTGTTGGCAACAATTTTTTTGGGATTTTTTTTGATTTTTTTTCACTAAAAGACAATTTTTTGTAAAACCAAAAAAAATAAATCCAAACAAAATATCACATCAAATCCATAATCATTTCACTTTTTTTCTCACAAAACATCACATCTAATCACAAAAAATCCAACTATCTTTCTAAACAAAAAAAAAAAAAAAAAAAAAAATCTGCAATAATATTCTACAACTAAAAAAATCTACATAAAAACCCACT